CATTTGCTTGGTATCACATTTGGTGTTACCTACACTTCAAATCAACTTATTCTTATTCCTGTACTTCTTTGAAATGTAGCAAAAGCACAAGGACAGCAAATGGTGCATTGCAGGGAGGCCTACCACATCACAAATACCCTCGCAGAACAGATGGTCCAATTGCAAACTTCCCAAATATTGACATCTGTGTGGCAGGCAACTGTATCAGACAGAGAGATGCAGCTTTTAAGTTTTACATACTCTATCAAAAGTAACTTATTCCTAAACCTGTCCTTTACTAACTGAAAATATGGGAATTGTCCCCTATTTATGAGAGGGCCTCTAAGAGAATGTGGATGCCATAGTACATTTTCTTTTCGAGCCTAGTAGAATCGATTAGCAAGTTTAAGTCTCAGATTTGCCACTTAATAACTGTATATTTTGCTCAGCCGGTGTGGCTCAGTGGTTGAGCGTCGACCTAGGCACCTAGAGGTTGCCGGTTCGATTCCTGGTCAGGGCACATGCCCAGGTTACGGGCCAGGTCCACAATGGGGGGCATGCAGGAGGTGGCCAATCAAGGTTCTCTCTCATCGAAGTTTCTATCTCTCTCTCCCTAAAATCAAGACAGAAATAATAATAATTATAACTGTTTTCAGAGAATCATTTTTCTGAGTTTTCATTTTCTCATCTCTAATATGTGTGTTAAAAATACTTGACTCTCGGAATTTCTCCAGTTGCTATAACCTTGCAGTGTATCCCAGTTTTACAGATAATACACCACCTGAATCACAAGACTGTACAACAAATAAGTTGTTATTATAAACCCAGTGGGCTTCATCCTTCATGGTTTAGTTTATTGAGAAAAGGAAATTCTTCACCTGTTTGCTATTACTGAATATGAAAGTAATCAATTTTTATATGATAAGGGTTTAGATTTAAACAGAAAAACTTCTGAGATCCTAATTAACACAAACATTCCATTAAGAATGCTTATTTGCTCTGGCCAGTTGCTCCGTGGTTAGAGCATCGGCCCTCGGACCAATGAGTCATGTGTTCGATTCCAGTCAAGTGCATGTACCTCAATTGCCATTCATCCCCAGCCCTGGTCAGGTGGTGCGGGTTCATTCTCCCCCCACACACACACTTTATCTGACGATAAACAGAAAAATATCCTCAGGTGAGAATTAAAAAAAAAAAGAATGTCTTATTCACTTTAACTACAAGAAAAGCACAGTATATAATAAAATAAACCCAGAAAAACCCATTGGTTACTTATTAGTATAGATACAACTAATGCTCTCAAATATTTAGAACTGTTCAATTATACTGGATGTTTAGCAGACAGACCTTGAAAACTACAATCCATGGAACATTGTTTACTTTTCATACCGAAGACATTATCAGAGGGTTTTTGACAATAAAAAAAGAATTTAGTGTTTGACTTTCCAATCCCCCAAAATATACACAGATGTCCAGGACCGGGAAGGTTTCAATGTAGTTGAAAATCTAGAGTCTTTATTTTGCACCCAGATGTGTCAGTGATCAACTGATTGATGTTCAGTTCACTGCCTGCTCTGTGACAGGAACGGGACTCCTGAAGCATTTCTCTGTTCCAGGGAGCATGGTGCGAGGCTCTGCCAGCCATTAGCCGCGGGAGCTGAGGGAATACTCAGGAGCGTCTCCTCCTGGTCCCCGGTGCTGCAGTTTGCTCTCTCCTGCTCCGCTGCGTGGTGCATCCACGATGCACGTGTGTGGGCACCTCCGGTGGAGCTGTCCCCTGCTGTGCGTGCAGAGTGCACACATCGGCGACTTCACGTCCCTGGCCTGCGCCGGTGGCCACCTTGCTGCACCCTCTGGATGTAGACACCCTGTATTCCAGGCCTCATGTCCACAGCAGCACCCAACTCCCTTTGCACACCCACCCACCAGCCTTGACTCACCTGCGTTCTGGAGGGTTCTGGCCGCAGCAGAGAACTCTGTCATTCAGTAAAACTCAACTACACTTTCTCCAAGAAGGTCTGACCTCTAGCCGATGGGGGCACGCGGGGGGCGAGGGTACCCCTAAGGCTGTCCTTGGGTCCTCTCTCCCAGCCCTAGATTACCCTTCTGAGTTCTCTTTATATTTTCAGTTTCTTTCTTATCATGGCTTAATAATGCTTTACATTAAACTTCTCCTAAGTGTGATTTCTGTCTCCTGATTGGACCCAGTCTGATCCTCCAGGAGTAATCAAACACATTTTTCCACTAAGCTCTGATTTATTCTCACCATTTATACCATGCGGATATTGTTAAAGATCATCTGACACTTCCTGGATATTCAGAAATAAGCAAACTAGAATAGATGCACATCATTGATTTATATCTTTTCTTGGGGCAGAAGTACTGGGTTTACTTTGGTGCTTATTAAGTTCATATTTCATTTGAAGATTTGATAAGAGAAGCAGAAAAAGTTATTAAGCAGCAGCATAGTAATTTAACAGAGAAAAATGAATGTTAAGTTTCAGTTCATAGAAGCTGAATTAATTTAACTTATATTTCAAAGTTTATACTTGCAAAGCTCCATGGATTCGTCCACTCTCCGTTTCATTCAACTACAGAGCTGGAGATCTTCAGGACTCTCAACACACAGGGACAGAGAAAGTGTCCAGGGTCCGATGACATCAATACTGAGTCACCTAAGCAAAGACTCTTATTTACATACAAATTCATACTTGTATGGTAAATCGCTGGAGTTCAATTTACCATCTTATTTACAAAGGAAACAGTTTGCTATATCAGTGATACACTAGGGAAAATCAAGACACCTCTGAAGATATTAGTCTACTGACATACTTTAAACAATGGCATTTTTGAGTAAGTGCTTAGAATAGCACCAGCTGTGTGTACTTTACAAGCAAAAGAAAAAAAAAAAAGGAAGAAAAAACAAACCTAAGTATATTTGAACTAGAGAGCAAATGTGACAATTTAGAACATGATGATGAAACACTAATTTGGAACCCAATTATTAAACAGAAACTTTGTCCCTTGAAACATAGATGCATTAGAGACCACGTCAATCAATTCATGGGCCTGGCACAGAAGTCATTTTCCTTGGGAACTATATTTGCCTGAAGAGGAATTGAAAAATTATACTCTGTGAACTCTAAATTGTTTTATTTTTCTCCCTGCGGTCAGTGATCAGTGGTTTTCTGACATGGAAATGTTTTATTCTTCTATGCTAAGCAACGGCTCCAAGCTTTACTGTATGTGATCGCACACAGTTACAAACACGGGGGGAAACTGCCCTCTTGGCAAACTCATTTGCTAGGGCTCTGCCAATCACGAAGCACACCTTGCCTTCCCCATGTGGCTTTCAGGGTGTGGAAGCCACACCTTTCTTTCTAATCATTGATGTGACCTTGCCACCTACTCGGCTTCTACATCACAGACTCAAGAGTAGAAGTTCAGAAATATAATACCACCGACAAATGGTGTGTTCCAGATTCTCTTCACAAAATGAATAGTCGAGCGAATCAGAAACCCGCCACCTTCCAAATGCTACGCCTATCTCCCGAGTAGGATAAACATACAGCCCACTCCTGACTTTTGGGGGGGAAAGGGGGTTCTTTCACAAACTTCTGGGCTTGGTGCTTCCTGGTTAAATGCGCTCATTCATAAGAACACCACAAAACTGCATCGGTCTGCGAGTCCTGTTGGGTCGCCATGTGTCCTCGGCCCCTTTCCTCTTTTAAATTTTAAATACTGCAAAGGAACCGTTTTCCCTGTGAGGGTCCCACACTCGGGATGAAGCCTTCTCCGCGGAATTTTGGCACCCTATTAATTAGCGGTTATGAGTGGGAGCTGCTCTCTCTCAGCCACTCCTATTCTGCCATCAGTCAAGTGTGATTCTGTAATAAATTCCCACAAAGCAAACTATTTCTGGTAATTCTCCCTAATTAACACCAGGCCCGCTAATAATACATCAGTACCTATGTGTTTCTGATATAACCAAGATCTTGTCTGAGACTACTCCAAAAGGGAAACCGCCAACCTAAATTAAGCTTTTTGCAGGCAAGACGGATTTTATATGTAGTTCTGTAAGAAAAGCTTTGATAATCTTATATTGGGGACATTTGAACAGAAAACACTGAACGACAGGGAGGCTTGTTCTGGTTTGAGCACTGAATGGGGATTTATTGTGAACACACACTGTTGAGTCTTAAGCCTATAAATCTTGTACTGGATTACTGTTTCTTAACGAAGGAATGACAGATCTCTTATTTTGTCGGTGCATTTTAATGTGCAATGACGTGATTGATAGAAACCAAACAGCAGCTATTAAAATGTCAGATGCAGACTTGATGCCCTTATAAGTTTGGCTTCTGGAGTTTAATATACTGTGAGCAAATAGACTTGAATTTGTCTTTTATTCCCAATACACAGCCTGCAACAGAAACATTCCTCTTAACTTTACACAGTCGGGGGAAAAATCTTACTCAAACCAATAAACAAACAGGAATAGGTGAGCCTACCTAGTTATAGAGATGTTGGCTAATGAGAGCGGGATGAGTTAAGCATGAAGTAACGGACCCTGGTCAATGAAAAATGTGGAAATGTAGACGACTTATGTTGTTTGAATATGATATATGATACAATATAGTGCTTGATAGGACAGGTTGGTCCAGTAAATAATTTTTACAAATATTTTAAGAGGACAAAGAGCTTATTTATCAATGAACTCAAACGTTTGTGTATAGGTGCCACATGCAGAACACAAAAACAGAGGAAAGTAAAATGGAATGTGACAATATTTTCAAATGTTCTGTTTCTGGGACATTTTGATAAGCAAATGTTGTAAGGGGATTCTCCTGAGAACTGTAACATCACGTCCTTTGAACGTGCTTTTCCCCCATGATAACGTAATAGAAACCACTTGCCAACCCCGAAGAAAAACCAGGAGAGCTTGTCTACATTACTTTAGCCATTTATTTATTATGTGCTCATTAAGGTATTACTATATTGATTATATTTCTCATGTGGTTTTTAATAAGAAAATACACCCCAAAGCAAAACAGCATGGACATATATACAAACTTAAAAACATCAAGAAATGAAAAACAGAGATGAACAGATAAGGCAAATGATACATCAAGAATCTAAACCCAATACCTTAAACTATTTGGGCGATGCAGAGTGACAAACTGAAGCCACATTAGATTTGTGTAATATTACTCAATGTGTTTTCCCTTCCCTGTCTGAAGAGCGTCTCCTTTCAATAGAAGTGACGAAACTACAAACATCACAAAGATGTTAACAGACCAGATTCACACTTGCACAGGGAGAGGGAGACATTATTTTCTATAAAAGTGATCCTAATACAGTACCCCTTGAAAATGGTACCACGAAGACATTTTTGTTGTAGATATTTTTCAACATAATGCTGCACTAATAATTTGAAGATTTCAACACTTATTTCTGTTAGTCTTAATACTGATCAAATGATTAGGTTTTAGTTTTAGACTCTAAATTCAACCTGAGTCAACAGGAAATGCATTAGCTGCTATAGGCATAAGCACAGGGGATTGTTTTTAGGCTGCTTCTTTAGGGAGCAACATTCTGGTAAGTCCAGAGAAATGTTTTAAATCTGAACCTATCACTGACATTTTCAAACCGGGAAGACCAAATAGGGGATGTTTTAAAGTCACGCACTACGCTTTAATCTGTATTGTACTAAGTGCAGCATTCCAAAATATACATCTAGGGACATTAGAAGTGAATGCTCTACAGCAGAAAGGTAATAATTTAAAAATGCTACTGACAGAGAACATTTATAATCAGAAAAATAAATATTCAGGTAGCTCACCAGAATAATAAAGTGCTCTGCCTGAGTTATTAAGAGATTAATGCTGATGTGTTAAATATGTCATTCCCCACTGGAAATACAGGGATCCTTCTGGGTTATAATCAATATCTCTTTCATAGGATTAACTGTTTTAGGAACCGGCAGAAAGCTTTGCCACAGAAGAGAAGGGCAAAGCATAATGACGATGATAAATTAGGAAGCAATGTTACCCTCTTAGGGATAAAATTTAGAGAAATGCAATATTATGCTCTATGAATAACATGCAGAAAGAAAAGTCCAGTAAAAATGATATATTAATATAAGATAATTTATAAGAAATCCAAGTCAAATAAAATTCTTTGAAGAAAATACCCAAATGCCACTGATTTACCAAACACTATCTTGGCATATAATCTACAAAAGCAAAACTATGTAACAAAAAGAAACTTCTACCACACCAACACAAAACCACCAACTAATTTTATCTTGTGTAAAGCAAATAACTGGCATTAACATATGACAGCACATATTCACCAGTATGTCTTCTAGAAGGGGTCTCAGCAGCAATAAGAAATATAATACACAATTCAAACATCCTGCCTCCCCGCAAGGTGGAAGGGGAGGAGGCGGTTTGGGGTTCTGCTGGTGAAGCATTCAGTTTGCCACTCTGTGCTACCCTCCTCATTCTTTTATCCCCAGTTAGTTATTATCTGCATATAATTTAAATCTGCTAGACCATAAGTTAACAGCTTTCAGGACAGATGCCTTGGAAAGTTCTGAGGGAGGTTAAACAAATATTGTAGCCCCAAACTTCCTCTACAACAAACGTCCACAATGGAAGTGAAGTCATTAGTGAGAAATAGGGGAGGAAGGACTTGGGGCTCACTCTCAAATTTAAAAGCACCTTGCTCCAAATCACTGAAATTATAACTCAGTGGGATCATGAGCTTTTAGCCATCCTGGAAACAAAGAGAATAATGATCAAATGCTGCAATTTCTTTTCTTACTGGGACAATGTCAATAGGATCTATAATTTTACCACAGTTACTTCTCTGTCTTCATGTGGTATCCATGTATTTTTTCCTCCAAATAAAGAAAACAAAAAATGGGCCAGTCTGAGTAATTAATCATGTTCCTCTCCTCTACTACCAAATCTCTTTGCATAAAAGTTTTCCAAACTTCGTGATCACATCTGGAAGTAGTTCATTTATTACTGAAAGAGAACTATCAAAAGTAAAAAAAAAATCTAGATTTTATCACATACCCAAGCCAACCTTTTATTTTTCTAGTGCAGAATTAAAGAAAAAAGATTATTGTGCAAAGAGAGTTCTCAAACCTTCATCAGTCAGTAGTACAACTACGAAACTAATTCATTGTCAAAAAAGGGGGGATTTGGGGAGGGGAATACATCATAATTCCCAACTACATTCTTTTCTTCTCATTCTCTTTGAGAGAGAAAACTCTCACAGTCCAAAGTCATTCAATTAGCTCTTTACCAGAGCATGAAGGACGAGAGGAAAAGGGAGTATGACTACTATAGGTGATAAAACATACACAATGAATTAAAAATGGTCATATTTTAATAAAAGGTGAAAATTTGAGATTTATAAGCTATATGGTGGCTTTTGAGAGGGATGAAAAAAATATACCTTCTCTTATTGGCATGACACATTTTGATCAAAATCTTATTGACCTTTCCTATTGGAATGATCAGTTGTAAAACTTTAAAAAAATGCACATGGTTTTTAAAAAGGGATACCGCCTACTGCTGATCAAAATCTGTTTAAACTCCTATTTACTATTATAAAGATAGACACTATTTTTTTTTTTTAATTTCACTTACTGATAAAGCATAAGGCATTTTCTTTCTTTTGCAGATTTACTCATAACTACCTACCTAATAAGGAAAGAAAGCATAATGATTTCAGCATTGAGGTTGCAGCTTTTATTCTAAAATTTAATTTTTCACTAATTTATTCTAAGATGAATTTAATAGTCAATCAGGAAATTGGTTTTTATAAAAGTTACTTTATGGGCAGAAAATACAGGGAACAAGTAATAACAAATGTCAAACTGTCTCTTTACATTATGAAGCCAAATATTTCCTCATAGATTTCATTTTTAAAGCTGGAATTTATCCCTTCAGGGCTACTATTATTTTTCAAAAATCCATATAAATATTAAATCTAAAAATTAATTGGTAATTTTAATTCTCCTCTTTCTCTTCAAATTTCTTTCTCTTCTCCTGAACTGTTGACTTTCAAAAATTCACAGAATGAGCATGTTTCTTGCAAAGTGGCTTGTCCTTCTTGGAGAAAAAGGTCTGACCTTCCAAACTTTCACAACATACCTGAAAAGAAAAGAAAAAAAGTGTTATGTAAGAGAATACCATTATTTTATCAAGTATGCATGAAGGAGAAATTGATTTTTTATCCAATGGTTAACAAAAGCACTTTAGTTGGTTGTTGGACATCCTGACATTCAGCTACCATATTTCATGTACTCTTTCAAGAACAATGAAGAATGACATTTTCTGGAATGCACTCTAATTTATTTAAATTACTGATCATTATTTGTGTTTATTGGGAGTGAAGCACTTGGCCCTAAAGAAAAATTCACACCTAAAGAAGTCCCACTAAATATGATTTCTCATCCCAAATTCTAATCAATGCTTTCAATCTGTCTCCTGTGGTAGAGAACCAAAGCATTCAAACAGAAAACACAGGACAGTCGCTTTATCAAACACTCCTGAGCCCCCAAACACACAGGTATAGAATACTTGAGAGTCCTTTTTAATATATCCCTTTGTTTCATACAGTGAAAACTCTGGTTAACATCTGGCTGCTGGATGATTAGGCAATCAGTTAACTATCCACATTTATGTCTTCTTGTCTTTCCTATTGGCTTTGTCAATTATAATGCTCATGAGCAGCTCTACCAGAGAACAGAAGGCAAATCTGCTAAAAGTTTTTTTTTTGTGTTGTTGTTTTTTAACAGATTTTATGATATCTAAGAGATAAAGGAGGTAAACTAGACAGGGTACAATGGTAACATTTGGGATAAACATTTTACTTAAATTAACATGATTTTTTCCCCCTTCATACAATGGGTAATGAAAGCTATTATATAGTAAAACTATTTTTTTTTAAATCAAATATCTGAACAGAGTACATTTATTGAATATTTACTTGCAAAATTAAAAACTTATATCTTAGGTAAATGTTAATTTCTGAATTTATGCTCCTAAGAAATAAAATTAAAAAATATTAAAATATCAAATGTAATAGGTAAACATATTACTACATGTTTATTATAGTCTCAAAAAGAAAGAGTATTCACGGACTATTGCTAAGGAAGAAAATCAACATATAGTTTACTTCCAATGTTAATTCAATAATAGATTTTCAATAATTACTTAAGAAGTTCCTATGCTTCAAAAAATTACTAAAATCACTCCAATAAAAGAGTTTTGTTTTTTAAGTAAAGGACTTTTAACTGTTTTAAGAAATATATCGCTTCTCTTTATAAACAACAATGTATTAATAATAGGATTTTCTCTAACAGGCAAGCATCTTATTCTATGCCAAATAATTTTTTAAAGTGCCCCAAATTTTCACAAACATCTTTTAAAATCACTGTAAAAATGTTGTTAGGTTTGGGATCCAAAGGTACAAGGACTGTCACTTCCATTCGGTGTTTGTGCTGGAAGCGGCCGAGCCGCGCCCCCTTCGCGGGAGACGAGCTCACCTACCGAGCACACGAAGCACGTGTCGTGCCAGGTGCAGCCCAGAGCTTCCAGGAACATGTCGCCGGCTTCGATGGGAAACTCACATCCGCGGCATATGGTACCGAAGAGGGCGTAGTAATCTGCAGGGCGGAGGAGGAGACATAATTTAAACATGACAAAGCTTTAGAATGATCGTTCCTAGAAAGCAGCAACAAAATTTGAACTGAATGAGATAATGAAGATCAAGGTACTAGTAACTAGAAAACTTTCAGATGGCATAATATTTGGCTTGAGATACATGTTTCAGGTTACCCTTGGTAAACGTTATTTATATACCTTAACATCCTTTATTCTATTTTTCCATGTAATATATTTCTTTTTTTTGTTTTTTTTTTCCTTTTTTTAATCCTCACCCGAGGACATTTTTCTATCCATTTTCAGATAGAGTGGTAGGGAGGGTGAGAGAGGGAGAGAGAAAGAAACATCGATGTGAGAGAGACACATTGACTGGTTGCCTCCCATAAGACCTTGACCAGGGCTGAGGATGAACAGCAACCGAGGTGGGTGCCCTTGGCTGGAATCGAACCCACGACACTTTGGTCCCCGGGCCGATGCAATAACTGCTGAGCAAAATCGGCCAGGGCTCCATGTAATACTTTTCATTTCTCTCCAACTACTTAAATGCCCAAATATGTCTAAAAGAACACATAAGTTATCAGCAGACATAACTGTTTCAATGCAATACAAAAGAACTTCCAATAATTAGCAACAGTAAGACTAATGAGCTTAAATCAAGAAGAAATATCTGGTATTGACTTGGTAAGGAAGAAAGAAGAGTCAGAGGAAACTTCCATTAATAAGCACCATGACTGAGTTTCTGGCTGGACTCTATTACAATATTAACCACTAGTAGTTTTTTTTTTCTGTATTTTCCCTTCAATTTTATGACTTCATGCTTAAAATCATTAGCCAGAGAACGCCACTTACTTGACACAGATTATAGCTATAAAATACTAATGGGATTTCCTTCTGAAGAAAGCAGTCTGACAAGCTGTTTCTTCATTATGACTAAATTAGAATGTATCGGCATTTTAATGTTCTTTTCTACAACTACTCTCACTACCTGTGTTTACTCAAGATTCACTCTTTGGCCTTTGACGTTTCAACCCAGTCTGGGCTGGAGGAGCAGGCGGGCTGTGGTGCGGCCTGATGCACCTTTCCAGCAATCCCCACACCTCGGCGCGCTCAGCACGCAGAGCCCTGTGTGCCAGGCACTGTGCTAGGCCCTGGCCGGGTGGGCGGCGACGGGACAGAGGTGACTGCCCTCCTCGTGGGGCTTATATTCTCCTTGAGCAGAATGTCATAACTTACTGTATTTTAAAACTAAATAACAAATAATTTCAGATTATAAAAAGTACCAAGAAGGAAAGAAAATAGCGTTGTGATATAAAATAACTGGGGGATATAAACAACTATAATATAGGGGGCAGTTAGAAGGGGCCTCTCTGAGGAGGTAACAATTATGTTGAGACTTGAAAAAGAATGGAGAAACCACCACAGACAAGCTGGGGAAGAACATTCCAGTTAAAGGAACAGCAACACGAAAGCCCCGAGGCAGGAAGGGTCTCAGCATGCTCAGGGACTCCAGAGGGGCCAGGCATGGCTGGAAGCCAGTGACTGGAAGCAAGGTGGCAGGCGATAAGGTCGGCGACACTGGCGCTGGTCTGGAGCATAATGTTTACTCTAATGGAAGCCTTTAAGGTATGGAGCACTATCTGATTCACATTTAGCAAATACCATAACTTCAAATACTGCAACTGCTATTTGAAGACTGGAGAACAGGAGAGACATCATTTAGTTGGTAATTACAATGTCCAGGCAAAGGCTGAGAGCGAGATGGATGTAGTGGTGATGGCTGAGATGGAGAGAGAGAAATGAATTCGGTGTACACACTGTGGGTCTATGTTAGAATGTAGTCACTGGACTGGGTATAGGGAGAATAAGGGAAAGAGCAGAATCCAAGATGACTCCTAGGTTTGGAGAGAGTGGACTGGGTTAAGAACAAGTCTGGAAGGTTAAAGAAAAAGAACAAAAATAGACCAAGATGATCAGAAGTGACATTTAAATAAGACTTCAATGTTTTTCCCTTTCTGTAAGCAATTTCAGGGTTTTAAAAATATGACTTCTTAAACTACATTAAATATGATATGAAAGCTAGACTGTTTTATACGTTTTGGCTAGATAGGGACTATCTGCCAAGTGAGTCAAAATGTCTTGCAAAGCTTTTAAAACAAACAAATAAGCACCCCCCCCCCAAAGAATTAAGTGGAATTATGAAATGTGAAATATTCTGGTTGAATCAGGGCAGGTTGCTGGTAGCTAACCTGTCCCAAAAAAGCCCATGGGTTAGTCCACTGGAGATTACACAGGGTTTCCGGGTGGACAGTCTAACACAGATCTAGATTGTTCCTAACTAGGGAACTAAGAGAAAGGTGAAAATAAGAGGATATTGAGCGAGTAAAAAGGGCTGAGTGATGCTGACCAGCCGGGAACGAGAAGCTGACTGCTCCTTTCACCTGACTACTGGGGACAGTCCCTTCATGCAGCGTCATACTTCGATATTCAAGGTACAACAATAAACTCCACAGTCCAAATGCAGTATAGTAAGTGAAGGCAAGACAAAGGAAAAATAATTTATTTTTGAAAAATGTGCATGTAGTAGTAACATCTAGGTAAGGGTAATACTGATAAAGTAAGTGTTATGAAAGTCCACTTACATTCTTCGGGGAGGAAAAGGAAGTGTCCAGAGGTCAGGTACTAAGGGAAATGCAGTATATTGGTCCTTAGAGTCTAGTTTATTAAAAATAACTTTACCAAGGGAGTAATCTGAGCCAGGATTACCCTCCCATTCAGGAAAAGTAACAAAGGACTTCTAATTTATTATCAAGGCAATTGCCTTAGAAAGCAAATCAGTATCATATTCAAAAGTTGAACACTTGCCATATTTATAACCACTCAAAATTTACTTACTGAAGTTTAAGAGGTGGCCATAAGCTTCATGATTTGGTAGAATTTATAACCACAAATTATTGGGGATTCAAACAAAATATTTTTCTCCTAAGTAATGCTTACAATGCTCACATCTCTTACTTAAGTTGGAAGTATCTGTGTTGACAGAGTCACATAAAATTATACATAGGTTGTTTTGTTTTTTTTTGCTATATACTTAGGGTAACATTACATGTTCCTAAAACAATTAGGAAAACTCTTTTTCCTAACATTCCCTTTCAACTTTATAGCAATATAAGGGTTAATGTTTTACCTTCATTCAAAACTTAAGCAACTAATGGCTTCAGAAGCTTACCAGTCTCACAGTAAGGTTCACCGTCCTCCAAATGGAAAACATTATTACGAATGGGTTTTCCACAGGCCACACACACAAAACAGGAAACATGCCAAGTTTGTTTCAAAGCATTGATAACTTCCTGTCATAGAAAAATAATTGGATGTAAAACAAGATGATAATACACAAATACTTATTCTACTAGCTCAGCCAATACAGCCATTGTCAACTGACCTAAAGTAGACACACATGCCTTGTCTTTGCCTTGCACTTTCCTCCTAAGTAACAGGAGATACGGAAGGACAGACTTGAAAATCATCTAAATTGATGCACTATATAACGTGCATTTTTCTCAAATACTATCAATAAACTTATTTACAGAATGATTAATGTGTTAACCATTATACAAGCGGTGAATAAAGTAAGCATTTCATAAATGCTTGCTACAATACATTCTGCTTTCTCTCAAAAGGTGTCAGGAAACATTAACTTATAAAGGATTCATAGTATTATCTTGAAAATCTCATGGAGGAAGGGCAAACATTTAAAAACTAAAACAAACCTATACTTTGGTGCATTATGGAAACAATAACCTAATCAGCATGATTCAGTCAGTTTAACACATGTTTAGTGTTTTGGAAATCAGCTGTGACTGTACTAAGCATACACTCAAAAGAGTATCTAAAATTTGAACCATAAAGCATGGATTCCAGTCAACAATGGCCCTATGGTTAAATATACCAAGTATCAAAACTTGGGCCAGATTTTAATTAGTAAAAGTTTTGGGCAGTTGGTTTTTCCAGGAATCATTTCTTGATTGAGAGAAAGAGATGAAGCCATTAAAAACCATTTTTGAAGAATAGTTAATAATATGGGAATTTACTCCTACTGTAATATTTATCACAAAAAGAGGATACTATACATAAAGTATGGCTATTATTTTGTCAATGAATTACTTATAAGAAGCCAACTGGAAGAAAATCCACCCTAAGGTTAACAGGAATTATCTGAGATTGGTAAATATAGAGGTTATTTAAATTTCATTCTTTATATTTTTTTGAATTTTCTAATTGTTGTAGAGTGAAATGTTTTCTCTTTTAATAAAAATATTGTCAAAACAAAAAAATATATAGAATAAATTATTAGCCATAGAAAATGCCTTCTAATTGTCTTCTAATAATTCACTATTAGAAGACAATGGAAAGAAATGGCAGTTGTTTAGTCCCAAAAGATTACCATGAACGTGTACAACAAATGTGCAATCAACCAAATCATTTCCTAAGGCTTCCAGCATGTGTTTCCCTTCATGTACTTGAGACAGATTACTATTCCTTCTTAATAGGTATTCATGTCACAGTAGAGAATTGTAACCCACCCACCTCCACCATTCTTTTGACATCATTTCTGTAAGTGATGGCTCTAATATGTAGCTTATAGATAAACAGCATGTTTGTATAAGAATCCTAGAAACTAACTTCAGAAGACACAGACTCTGACCTTCAGTCATTCCAGTTCCAGGAGATTTGCTGACTTTCAACCGTAGAACCAAAATGATGTAGAACCAGATGAAAACAGACCATCATTTGACCAGTCTGAGATCCTTATCGAAACAGACTGTGCTGGCTTGCACATAGGGAACTTTCCAACTCTCTTTCTCCTTAATTTCCTTGTTCTGCTTTCTCTCTCCCTCCTTATAAAACCCCTGCCTGCACCAAGGTGGGAGATGGGCTTTGCAACAAGAGTCCTCCATCTTCTCAGGTGACCAGCACTTGAATAAATCTTTCTTTTTTTTTTTAGCATCTGTCTCACTGAGGGTTTGGCTTTCATGGCCGCAGGCAGTGGAACCTTGGTTTCGGTTACATTCAAACAACTGAACACAATACAGAGAACCTGTCCTTTTAATGAAGTTCTGGCCCATCTCTGAAGCAATGAGTGTAAGGTTTCCATTTCCTAGAACACCATTTGGTTCTAAGACTGTTACTTGACTTTTTTTTTTAATTATTCTAGAATACGTAGAACAGATGTATATACTAAAACAGTATTAATGTATTGTACTTATTAACTGTCATTTGGGAAGGTACAGCCTGAATCATTCTACCCTTTTATTCCCAACAGATTGTACAAATTAATAATATAGAAATATTTCATGTGATATAATTATGATTTCTAAGTGTCCTGAAAGTTTTAGACACAGTTAAAGATATCTTCTAAAATTAAGACTACTCTATAATTCACGCTAATGTTTCTCTTAAATGATATGAATTTAGTTTCATTGTTACATTTTCATATTGAGAACACTAGAATTCAGCAATGCCATTTCCAAATTTTGTATTGTATGAAACCAGGCAACTTGGCTGTTCTAAAGTAAAATTCCAACTCCTGGTCACCCATAGGCAATGCCTGAATCTTACTTTGCAATTGCAAACTGGGTATTCCAAAGGAGAAAGTTGATTTACTCAATATTATTTATTATGTACCTAAATCACATAATAAATATTATTATGACACCTAAATTACTCTCCTTTTTTGCAAAAAAATTTAAAAAGGTGTGGTTTTATTATTTTTCTATACATGTAAACTCTCATAAAACTAAAGTTATATTTTTAAACATTACATGCATTTCAGAAAACTATATCATTAATAAGCATGTGTTATATACTTCATGAGATCTGTGCCCTGTGCTTGAACCATGACAAATAGGGAAATGCTGCTCTTATAAAAGCTATGGAATTTAATTTGAAACAGTGAAGGTGTCAGTTCTGAGAACTCTGATGTGTGTGGTCCTGTACGACCTCTTCATTCCTGAGCAAACAGGGTCCGGCTGAAGTAGCACACCCACAGTAAATTGTTTTCCCCCCACAGTGGCTAGATTTTCACCAGACAAACCAGCACTCGGTAAGGAAAACCAAAGACAACTTAACCCCACGAGTCCTATCTACAGAGGTCTATTTAGTGTTGCTTTACCATAATAAACAGTGATGAAACAGAGAGGGTATCAGGCAACAAGAGAAAAAAGTCAAATGATGGAAGGGGTTCATAACCAACATTAGTCTGCTTTAAAATTCACTCAGAATAAAAACCCAATACTCACTCCAAGGATCTTCCTTTGGCATCGACCACATTCAGGAGCAAAGAATTTCTCATAGCAAAGCTCACAATACAGGGCCCCCTTTTCCTCCACAAACCCGATGTAGGCCATCGTGTTTTTGCAGTGAGTGCAGTTGAACTCCTCCGGGTGCCAAGATTTCCCCAGCGCCACTAGGAAGGGTCCCCTGCCAGAAGCAAAGAGATCGGGTTGGCTCAGGCATCAAAGTTTCTCGGCCTCTTTTATACAATGTCCAAACAATGAAATATCTGCTCCATTCTCCTTCTCAAGGACTCGCCCTGTGGGTGCTGTAAATTTACACAAGAACTCTCTGCGCGTTTATGTGAAAAGAGAGGAGGAGAAAAAGCAATGAAAGGGTATCCCCCACCTCAGTTTTATTCTACCTTCAAGAGATTTCATAGTTATGTTTTTTGAGTTGTAATGAGTGAGTCTGACTGCGTCATGATTACAATTGAGAATGAGGATGTTAACTGCTACAGAAAACAAAGTAACCAGGAAAAAAAAAAAAAAAAGTGGTTTAGGCAGAGATGAGAGTTTGGCATTTCTATAAAATAAACAAAATAAAAATCTCAATTTGGTAATGTCAGAGTCTTAAAAATAATATTACCCGATAAAACATTTCAGTCAATTCCTCGTCCCCACACCTAGTTTCATATATTTCTCAACTGTATTAAACACATCAAATCCTCACCCTCCTTCAGAAACTGTAAACCGGGTAGAAGAGATTGTTTGAAGCTGCTTAGAAAGGTTTTTATTTAATTCAAACATAACTTATTTTTAATACACATTTATATCAAGGTAACAAATGTTTGTAAAGAGACTTTTTTCCCTATAAAATACCATACAGTCATGAACTGATAAGAGGGCTTCGGTTTGCTTGACAGGAATCCATTATGGAGCCTTATCTATCCCGCAGCCTGCAGAGATGAACCATTCCAGCCTCTGCAGCATTCTTTTCTGTGGCTACGTCACACTAATTTTTAGTCACAGAGCAGCTTTACCTCCAAGGCACTTTTCCATTTATATAATTTGTCCATGCAACATTCCTGTGAGATAGACCAGGGCAGTTATTACGAACTCAGTTTAACAGATGGAGAAGCTGAGATACAGAATGTTCAAAAGATATGACAAATGCCATAAAATCATCGATTGAGTAAAGGCCAGAAGCTGATTAGTATACTGCTCTAGTAACTATCTCCCATTGGGAATTTTTTTGCAAATAATTGATGTTTACTAAGAACCAGCACCAAATTCTGCAAGAGTCAAGAAAGTAGACAAGCTCTTGACAATTACTGAATGTGCTCTGTGGGATAGAAGAGGGTGTTTTCTAACCCCACTTTTTCTTGTCTTGTATCTTTTTTAAAAAGTAACTTAAAATTTTATTTTTCAGTAAGTTTACATTCAATATTATTTTGTATTGGTTTCGATCGTACAGCATAGTGGTTAGACAATCATATACTTTACACAGTGTCCCCCCCAATATTTCCATTTCCCACCTGGCACTGTACACAGTTATCACAATATCGCTGACTGTATTCCCTGTGCTGTACTTTACATTCCCGTGACTACTTTGTAACTATCAAGTTGTACTTAATCCCTTCACCTTGTTTCTTATTGATAACATGCAATTTTGTATAAGCTAGTGCATGCAGCTCTCTTTACACTTGAGACAAATAGTGTATTATTATTTTTTAAACTTCAGGGTAATATAATTTTGTTATCACTAATAAGGATTGCCTTGATTAACTAATTCCTGCCAAAAATAAAGTGGGGGGCTACAGATCACCTACTGTTTTACTTTGGGCAGTTGGTCTCTCAATTTTGAACTGATTTATAAGTAACAGTCCTACTCAACAAGCTCTTTCTTTCATCTTTTCATTATATATTTGTCAAGTACTTTTCCTTCAAAGATAAACCAAAAAAATCACAATGCTCAAAGCTAGACAGAGTTTTACAAGAAATCTAGGCTTTTCCACCAGGTGAGTATCTAGTTAGAGACGCCTGAAAAATCTGCCAGGCTAAGTTTACTGTTACTGTAACATAAGATATGGTAGAACTTCAGGGTTTTCTGCGACCATAGGTCTGGACAGTAAAGTAGTTTGAAACAACTGACTAGGATGAAGTTGTTGTAAAAGCACATCTTCAGCTCGTCCATGGCCTGGAAGGACCCTTGAGGCCGGCCCTTAGGCTCCTCAGTTTCCGGAGGAAGTCAACCAAACTCAAACTGCGCATTCTGTTGAAGCAAAGGGTTGGTGTGCACTTGGATTCAAGTGCTCTGGAACATTGTCTATCAGCGCTACCAAACAGTTAACAAAGTTCATCTGAGAAGTAAAAAGACAATTGAGAACAATAAAATCCATTTTCTCAATTTTCTAAAATATGTGTTGGGATCAACTCAGGTCAGCAGAGAAACGGGTTGTGCAAATCAGAGAGACCCATTCCACAGAACGGTCCCTTTGCTGACCAGTGTTCGGGGTGACACCAGTGTGCATTGACCTGTCGCAGGAAACAGCTCTGTGGCAGCCACCTCTGCTCCTGCATCTGCTGCTGGAAGTGCTCTGTTAGGCCACACAGGACTATTGCACACGGATTCCTTGGAGAAATCCTTTCACATTTTTGCAACAAGAATAGTTCTGCTTTTTCTGAATAATAGAATTATTTTTTATCTCACTATACAGTAATTTGCAAAATTAACTCCTTGAAGGCTTAAAGCCAAATTTAGTGTAACCACAGCAAGTATGCATGTCATTATTGTAGGTCTTTTCCAGTCTCAGTGACAAATGTCTGTCCACTGTTCCTTTTTAATAGACATATTCAAGATTTTCATTCTTTTCCAATTTAGAAGGTTTTCTTATATTTCATGTATTCTTAAAAGTATTTTGGGGAATGCTTTCTAGATTAGAGTCCACTACAAAAAATAAATAAATAATGTTGTCCATCGAAAGGGTAATTTTAAGATATTTCCTTAGTTTATCACATTTGAATAGTGAATGATCTTAACAACAATAAACTCCCTCTGCACCTTTACAAAGTGAGCTGAAAATGACCCTTGCTCCTGCCAAATCTCTTTCTTAAACAAACACTCTGTGCAGATACTGGTCTAACCTGATCCTTCCCGGCTGCACTGAAAGCATCTTCCATCAATGCCCTTAAAGTTATGCAGAGATTAAACAATAAAATCTTCTACTTATAACAAAGTACTCTCTTCTCTGTGTCAGCAAAGACTAATTTAACAAATTCATTAACACAGGATTAGCACTGAAGAAGTTCTTCCAGTTCCGGGTAGGATTGGGTTTCCGCCTGCAAACTGGAACGACAGGCTTGGATAGCTGCAAGGTGGAGTTGAGCATTCTGCTACCTCTGATAATACTAACACTGGGAGCCTCAGGAGCCCTGACTAAGCACTTGTTGACTGATGAAGGGAGGGGGGAGGTAAGCGCCCACTGGCCGAGAGAGAAGAGCGGTGCCATAAAACGTTGTACCCTGTTCCTCTCCCGTGAGACTTACGCCAACAAGAAAAAACCAGAGTTAGGGAAGGATGCTAAGAGAAAAGTTCAGAGGAAAATAAAAACTTACAAATAGAAAGGTGAAAGAAATTGCAAATCTCTTTTTTAAGAATTTTTAAAACTGACTTTGAGCAAGACAGTAAGGAAGAGGGAGGAGGGAGAGAGAAAAATGTCAATCGGCCACCTGGACCGGGTTCCAGCAACCTTTCGGTGCACAGGGTGACAACCAACTGAGCCACACCGAACAGGCACAATCTAACAGGGACTGCACTTGAAATCAAATGCTTACTTCTCCCTTCCCTTTGTTATTTAAGTCTCACAATAACTCTCAGTGACAGGCGTTCGCTCTATAAATAGAAGACGCTGACATGGTAGAAGTGAGCCGACTCCTCAGATCAGGTAGAGGATGACCTGAGAGCTGGACTCCCAGGCCCAGCCACGATAGGTTGAAAATCTGATTTGACCAAACCTTACTGCATCAATAGATGTTAAAAAAAAAAAAGGTTTAAAAATCAAAAGAAGTTAATCAGCAAAAGTTAAAAACAAAGCCACTTAAAAAAGAACTCACATGCTCAAAACTAAATATGGAATCTGATATTCTACTTAACTAGATATAATAAGTAATAGAAACATATAAGCCAGTATTTATTATGTTCAACTTTTAGAAAGGGCCTAGCATGAGCAAACGGTCTAGGAACAACGTAGAGAGAAAAACAGAATGAAATAGGAAAGATTATTGGGAAAAAATGCACAGCACACACAGAGTCACAAATACACACAGTGACTCTCTTTCAAAATTTATAATACTTGAAATTAGAAATACTAACAATACGTCCCCAAATTTAGAAACATCGTATTTTTGACACCCTTAATTCCTCATTCCCAGTGGACTATGCCTAAACTTTCCAACTTGAAACATCGGAAAAATATAGCCCTGCCCAGTGTGGCTCAGTAGTTAGAGTGCTGGCCCTCACACTGAAGGATCCAGGGTTCAATTCCCAGTGAAGGGCACATACCTGAGTTGCAAGTTTGATCCCCTGCCCCAGTGGGAGGCAATCGATATGTGTCTCTCATATCAATGTTTCTCTCTCCCTCCCTCCCTCCTTTCCACTCTCTCTAAAAATCAATGTAAAAGATATCCTCGGGTGAGAAGTAACAAAAAATATAACAACAAAAAATATAGCTCTTCTTCCACTGGGTACCATCTTTAACTCATGGCCCTTTAAAATACTCCATTTAAAAGGTTACAAGGCCAACTATGGCTTTTTACTTGAAAGATATGTTCTTTAAGAATAAGTGCACATGCCCTGGCTGGTTTGGCTCAGCGGTTAGAGCCTCGGCCTGAGGTCCAGAGAGACCTGGCTTCGGTTCCCGCTAAGGGCATGTACCTCGGTTGCAATTTGTCCCCGGCCCTGGATGGGTTCGTGTGGGTGGCGACCACTCGATGTGTCTCTCTCACATTGATGTTTCTCTTTCTCTTCCTTCCCCTCTCCCTCCTGCTCTACCTGAAGATGAATGCAAAAATGTCCCTGGGTGAGGATAAAACAAATTTTTTTCTAAAAAAAGGTAAAGTCAATTGGTAAGTTAAAAACAAGTTTCTTGGAGCAAATATAGTTAATTCTTTATATTGAGGTTATTATAAAACCAGAAAAGCAAGAGAAATGTGATTCATAATAGGACAAGTAGAATATAATTTCATGCATTCCTCCAAATATTTTGAAAAGGTTCATTCATCAACTGAACAAACATTTACTAAATGTGGTGATGTGAGCCAGGCACTGTTCTGGGAGCAGAGAGTATAGAGCAAGAAACAAAGCCAGAATAAGCCCTGTTCGCATGGAACTTACAGTCTAGTATGAGGTACAGAGACAACCAAAAAGATAAATAAAATATATCATATGTTAGATTTTTAAATGCTAAGGATAAAAATGAAGCAAGGGAGGGGAGATGGGGAGACTGTGCATGTGGGGGTGGGAATGGCCAGGAATACTCTGACGATTGAGTAAAAATCGGAAGGAAAAGAAGGTGAGCTATGCAAACATCTAGGAGGCAAGAATGTAGGCAAAGGAAACAGCAATGTTTTACTACAGTAAATCTGAAGTCTTGGTCTATGTCTTGTTCATAAACCTTAGTCTGTGTCTTTGACTGTTTCCTTAATTTTAGGGACTAACACACTATCTCAAACCTTTTGCCCGACCTGTTTGGCTCAGCAGTTAGAGCATTGGCCTGTGGACCAGAGTCCTGGGTTCGGTTCCCACTAGGGGCATGTACGAAAAAAACCACCTTTTATTTTCAAGTAAAATCTTAACCAGAAGGGAAAATAAGCAAAACCTATTTATAAAGGCGTGCTCGAGGTTGGAATGGACAGTGAGACAGGCAAGATGCTCTGCAGGCCGCTCCTTGGAGTCACTGAGATGGCCCTCCTTCTGAGACGAACATGAAAACCACTGAGCAAGAAACAATTCGGTAATGTTAAAATTCTCTTTCTCACTGGGATCAGCAATGGGCTGACCGAATGACTGTTCCGGCGCTATCCTGCAGGCAAGCACAGGGCGACAGTATTGGCGCTATTTTTTTTTTTTTTAAAGCATTCCGTATCTAAGAAGAAATCCAAGCACCATAAACCCCCTACTTCTTTCACAAAGATGCTAAGAAGCTAAATATAAATGGTCCATTTAACTCCATGTAATCCAAGTGGTCAGTAGATTTTAATGCCACTAGATGTAACAGTCAAGAAATAAGCTCAAGTTTTCATTAGGCTGTTCTAACATAGGAAACTGAAATGTGGTTTTGGCCACATCAGTCTGACTTTCTGTTTCCCTATCGCACCAGCACCCCAACAGTCAATCTATTCATGAGTGCGAGAGTGGAGGAAACGGTACTCCGATCACAAATGGACTGGAAATGCTCCGCAGCTAACTCAATCCAAGTTTCACCAGAATTTCCTAAAATATAACACCCCACCCATCTGGAAAAAAGCAACTAACTAATCAAAGTAATGCCTAAATAATACAGTTTAGGCAAAATACCTATAATCTTTTTAAGATTCAAATAAACCAAAATTTTGAATATTAGATCCAAATCAAATGACTTACGGAGTTTTAAGCTAAATATGGACTACAAGAGAGAACCAGTTCAGTACCAACATTCAGTGATTCGGGTTTCTGAGGTTTTCCAAAAACAATTAACTTTGCTAAAAATAAAATAAAACACAAAATTTGCCTCAATTTTGCTTTATTTAAAAAGTGTTTTAGAAAATTTAAAACATTTTGAAAATAAATATAAAATAAACAATATAAATTATAAACAAACAACATAAATTACACTGTGGAAAATGAACTATAAATTCTGAAATCTTAAGCTTCCTAGAGTTTCCCAGGTTGCCATACCCTCCACTGAAAGCTTCAAGCTGTCACTGCAGCGTGTTTCTGAAACAGGTGTACAAGAGAATGTCACTCGATCCAACGCCTCCTCGCTTTGGTAAGTGATACCGGCACTGAGGCCAAGAACTAGAATTATGCTTTGACTAGGTCTCTGAACTGACCACAGTCTATTCAAGCTGCGTTAGCATTTGAGCACCAAGCAAATGTGCTATGTTAATTACTGTTAGGAGACCTTGACATGAACTAATCCCTGTTCCTATTAACTTCCCTATAAATGAAGCTTTAAAGTTTAACTGATAACAAGTGCTAGGATAATCCAGAGCAATATAAAACCTAACAGATGAGGGAGCAATAAGTGACGGCCATTCATGTTATTAACATATATATTTATTTCACATGACAAGAGGATTATGCATTAAAACTATATCCTGGCATTAAAACTGAAACCAAGGTAGGTCGGGGTGGGGAATGTCATTTCTATCCATACTAAGTTTTTCAGATATGCTGGGGGTCGTGATTATGGGATGTCACAGACTTTGATAATCAGACAACACAAATCAGCAACTGACACAGTTTGACATTTTAACCCATCCAATTAGGTGCTTACAACAGCACAAAAATAGCAGTGACTCCTGTCTCCATAAAGGGTGTTTACCTACCACATAGTATCCTTAAATACCAGTCTGCATAACCAAAGTACAGTAACTTAAAGAGGCAATGTGACAAGGTAGAATTTTTTATTTCATTAATATTAAACCTAAAAATGTAACAACTAAACACAGTTAATTAAAATCAGTGCTTAATTTACTGGAGTAAAGCAGTAACACACTAGATTCGATAACAGTTTAAATATTTCTGGAAGGCAGTAACCCTAGAGTAGTACTTTTAAAAGAATAACTCTATCCCTGCCGGTGTGGCTCAGTGGTTGAGCACTGACTCATGCTTGAAGAGGTTGCCGGTTCAATTCCCAGTCAGGGCACATGCCCAGATTGTGGACCCGATCCCCATTGGGGGGAAATGCAGGAGGTGGCTAATTGATATTCTCTTTCATCAATGTTTCTCTCTCTCTCCCTTTCACTTCCCCTCTCTCTAAAAAGCAATAAAGGAAAAATAAAAATTTTTTTAAAGGAAAATGGCTGTAATCTGATTATTATCACGACCTGAACGATGAGTGGATCTAGAGTCCTGTGTGATCTGTTCGGGTCAAACATGCACTGAAAGCCTGTGTGTGTTGATACTGTGCCGGACTGTGGAAACCTCTACTGATTTTCTCCTTCTCCCCATAACTACTATGACTGCTACCACTGCTCCTGGCTAATTGTTAGTAAGGAGGGACTACTCACCATGGAAAATGCAATTTAAGTGAAAAATAACAGCTCACAAAATATTGTATTATGATTCCCTTTCTGTAAACATCTATTCTCATGTGTATGTGCTTTAAAAGTGTGAATTAGCCCAGGCCGGTTTGGCTCAGAGGTTAGAGCGTCGGCCTGTGGTCCAGAGAGACCCGGGTTCGGTCCCCGCTAAGGGCACGTACCTCGGTTGCAGTTTGTCCCTGGCCCTGGTTGGGTCATGTGGGTGGCAACCGCTCGATGTGTCCCTTTCACGGCGATGTTTCTCTCTCTCTCCCCCTCCCACTCTATCTGAAGAAAATATGAAAAAATGTCCTTGAGTGAGGGTTAAAAACAAACAGTATGAATTAAAATATTAACAGTGGCTACCACAGGAAGTGAATTTTGGGTAAATTTTTATTTTTGCTTTCAGTTTTTCTGTATTTTTGAAATGTCAAAATGAACACGGACTACTACCTTTAAAATATAAAAGTTACCTGACCAGTGTGGCTCAGTGGATTGAGTGTTGCCCCATGGACTGAGTGGTCCGGTTCCATTCCTGGTCAGGGCACATGCCCAGGCTGTGGGCCCGATCCCAGTGGGGGGCGTGCAGGAGGCAGCCAATCAATGTTCTCTCTCATCAATGTTTCTATCTCTCTCCCCCTCCCTTCCTCTCTCTCTAAAATCAATAAAGAAAAAATAATTAAAAATTAATCAAGATATTATTTTTTTAAAAAAAGAAAGAAATGCTCAGAGATTTAGTAAGTGCCAGTATTGTACACTCACTTAATATCTCTGGGCCTTTTTTCCTCCTTGGAATTGAAAAGACAATAAAGTACTAAAAAACTGATATGCATATATACATAACCCATGGACATAGACAATATTGAGGTAAAGGCAGAGGGAGGGGGAAGAAGGGTAGAGGTGGTTAATGGGGGAAACTGGGGGGATATCTGTAATACTTTCAACAATAAAAATAAATAAAAAACAATAAAGTAAGATTTAGATAAAAATATTATAAAGATGCAAATTATGATGGAATCTATAATTTAAAGCATTTATGTATATAGATCTGTAGATAATTGTATCTTTCAGTGCTTAGGTCTTCAAAAATCCAATCTTCTCTAAGTTCTTTATTTTATGTCACTAGTTATTTTTCACCTAAATGAAAGTCTTCACTTATAAAATTTGTAAAATAATGAAGTTCAGATAAATGATCTTCAGGATTCCTTCAAGTCTTAAAATTTTATCATTCTCTGAAAGGCCACATTAATCATTATTTTTCCATAGGAATTAATTTCGGAAATGAACGGTATTTTTAGTTTTAATTTCAAGGGACCAGAATTACTTTTCATTAAAACAATTCTAACAAATATATTCATATTTATCTACTTCAATAACATTTACACAAAAATATGGCTAGAATATTTTCCCTAATAAGAAATGTGAATCTTTCAGATCATAAACCATGAAAATCAACATTGTTACTAAGTATTTCCAAGAAACGTCAGGAACAACCCACCTGATGACCTGGTTGCAGTGGGCGCACATCGGAGTCCGCTTCCCCGCTGGGATGTGCTCGGCTCTCTGCACTAACGTGTCCTGGTCGCTTGGCTGCGGCTGCCCCGCAGCTGGGCTGGCTGGTGCCCCTGGTCCTGAAGAAGTGGCACTGTTTGAGATTCTTCCCGTGGAAGCTGCTAGAAGTTAGAACACCAAAAACTCAGAATGAGAATAACCCAAATATAAGCTTTCTCTAACAAATAATAATAGTACTTTTAAAATAATCTGCTCACTCGCTTATTCACTCACTCACTCGTACACATTTAAGGAGAGGTTATGTACCAAACACTGGACTGTGACTGTAGAGATAAATGGAAAAGAAAATCAAGAATCATAACACAGAGTTATAACAGATGAATGAATAGCACGTTATAGAAAAGAGGACATACTTCTGCTTCCAAGAGGAGATAGATACAGTTCAGGTGAATATTGACAACGAGGTATTTCTAGTCATTTAGACATCTCTGTTGAACATTAATTAGATTTAACTGGAAATATTATCACAGGCACATTAAAAACCTCAGTGGGTTAAAATAACCATTCTATATTGCACCCACATTCTCTCTTCCTTTACTCTCTAAAAAGACTGTGCAATCAGTCACCCAGTCACATAAGGCAGCTATGTAAGAATCATCCTAGGACTTTCTTCTTCCTCATCTGTGGTTACAATGGGTTCCACTAATTTTGTATCACAATAATTCTTAGTTTTGCCCCCTCATCTCCATTCCTACAATATTGTCCTGGTTTAGGTCCTCAGTGTCTCCTACCTGGACTAGCCACCAAATTGTCTTGTCCCCCACAAACGCATGTTCCCAAATGCCTCCTAAGACTGCACTTGGCCTGATCAGACTCAGTCCTAGGACTTCCCATCCTTCGGCCACTGCATGCAGGCCCCACCCTCGCAGTCGGCCTGCTCCACCACGTCCTCTCTCACCACTCCCTGCCTTTCATTTTGTGCTACAACAATACCAAACTGCCTCACTTTTCCTTGAAAAATGGGTCTTCACTATCATTTCCCTATGCTTCTTCCTTTTTACCTAGTGACCACTACTTATTAAGATTCAGCCCCAAAGTCAACTGCTCCAAAACTCCTTGAATTACATCTCCCTGCTGCCCCCTCCAAATAACCCTAATTCAATGTTTCTCTTCCACGTTCCCATACTTTTCTGTGAATGATTTTATTATTGCTTCTACTGTGTCTTTTCTTCTACAACTAGCTAGTAAGCTCCCTGAGGTCAGGAACTATGTCTCATTCATTACCCTCACAATGAATACAGTGTCTGGATGAATGAATGAACGAACGAACGAACAAATGAACAAACGAATCAATACATAAGTGAGTGAATGCAAAACTGTAAAGATTGAAACCAACAGAAGGCCAGCTCCTTACCCACAAGCAATTAAAATAGAATGGAAGAGAAAAAACATACATCAAAAAGGTTTAAAGGGAACAACTTTTAAGAAAAGCACACACAATGCAAATTAACAAGGTGAGTGTACGTAGGTATACATGTGTGTATATTGACAGGATCCATATTCGAGATGTGGTCAAAACTGGGTAAGACTAATTACGACAATTGAAAGGACAATTCTCCCTCACCAGAATAAAGCCTGTTAGCAATGATATGCAGTTACGGGTCCAGAACCAAGATTTACAAACAGTCAGCACATCAGCGGCACTCTGCCTGGCACTCGAGCTGTGAAATGGCACTTTACTGGCCCGGGAACTCGACTGTTGCCCAAGTTTTTTTTTAAATCCTCACCAGAGGACATTTTTCCATTTTTTGTTCAGATAGAGTGGGAGAGAGAGAGAAACATCAACGTGAAAGGGACACATCAAGTGGTTGCCACCCACACGACCCAACCAGGGCCGGGGACAAACTGCAACGGAGGTACATGCCCTTAGCGGGAACCAAACCCGGGTCTCTCCGGACCACAGGCCGACACTCTAACCGCTGGGCCAAACTGACCAGTGTTGCCCATGTTTTAAATGAATTAATGGACCAGGAATCTGTTTTCATTCTCTTAAACTGACACTCTCTTATAGAAATGGGAAAGAAAATTACTGTAATGTTCATGTTGTGCACTCCCGTCCTCGTTACCGGATTTACCCACACAGCTCTCTCCTCCGTGGGTCTTCCATGTCTACACCCAGGCCTGATTTCTCCTGGAGCACCAGATAAGCATTTAGTTCAGGACACACAAAATGTATTTCACCTTCTTACACACATTGTCAGCTCTTCTGAAGAACTCCTATGTTCCGCCTACTCAGACAGGGCTCTCTTCCGCCCTGACAATCAGTCCTCAGATGCTAATAATGGTTTCATTATAAATGTTCTGTCCCTTCTTTCTAATTCAAACCCATCATCTATCCTCTGAGTCCTGGTTTGAATCCCCCCAGCCTGGACAATTACGAGTCTCTCTGTTGCCAGTCTCTTCTTCTACCTCTTCTGCTAAATTCTTTTCCCAAATACACTGGTCTGATCATATATTCTCTAATAAAGCATTAGGTAATTGCCCACTGAAACCTACATGCAGGCCTGACAGTCCAGTCCCGCAGCGAGCGCACTGCAGTCTTCCTTACAACCCTGTCTCTTATGGTCACCGACATCCCCGCCATCATCACACTCGACCGTACTTATTTAATATTTAACTTGTGCTTGTACTATTCTCAAATCCTTACGACAGCCCTACGACTGAGGCATGATGGGTACCACTTCTTTACTCTGAGGCAAAGAGAGGTTAAGAAACCTGCCCAAGGTCCAACACAGCATAAAAGGCAGTCCTGAATCCAGGCAGGCTGGCTCCAGAGCCTGCGCTCTTCAACACTATGCTATGGTCTACTAGCTGTCCCTTGAACTTGCCATGCTGTCCCCTGCTCCTATGCTCCTCAGCCAGTGAAATGGCCCTTTCTCCTCTGCTGCTCAGTTTCCCATTCTGCAAGGCCATGGAAGTTCCGTTTCTGTCCCCAGTATTTCCTGGCCACCCCAGCTGGAAGAGCCCTCTTGTTCCCCTTAACATCGGTTAACGTCCCCGCCCATATAATTTACTTGTTATTAACCAACAGGTCCTATAACACCTTTTCCTTTCTAAGTCAATGACAATCTCTTAAAATTATGAGGACAAACTATGTGTTTCTTTCTACCTACTACCAGAAAACTACCTTAAAAACAGAAGACAAAAACAATGAATATTTTAATCAAGTAAATGAAAATGGGAAGGTTCCAAATAACTTTCATTTTGCCTCTTTAAAGAATACTATAAAGATAGAGATTTTTAAAATGTGTATTGGGTTCAGGATTTCAAACAGTGGGAAAGTTACCAATTGAAAAATCTGAAAATCAGACCTCAAAGGGAGTCAGACCCTTTCATCTACCATATGCCTTTATTCTATCACATTATCTATGCATAAGCCCTAAAGTCCTGAGTCACTGAGACAGTTTCAGCAGTAAAAGCGTGTAGTAATTCTGCATCAGTCATTGTAAAATGGGACATAATCCATCTGGCCCGTGCCTCAAGGAGGAGGTACATGGGGAACTAACGTATTTAACATAAGAAGCCAGTCTTCAACTTGAAACATCTGACCATCTTAAACACATATAAAAAGGCTCTAGGCTCCCTGCTGCTCCTTCCTTGTGAAGAAACGCCTTGCTTTCTGGGACTGCCCCATTTCCACCACTTTGGACAAGACTGGAGTTCTCACACCTCCGTTTTGTTGCCGTGTTGCTAGCACACTGGCCCGCACACAAAGCTCCGCAAGCCTGTTAATTACCAGGCCCTGAACATTCCCAGGACCCAGTTATTTCCCGTAGGAATAAAGTGATGTTTCATTTCTTCAGATTGAATTTCTCACTACTCCAGCACAGGAATGGGCAACTTCTGAGCCATGAAGTGCCAACCCCGGCCTCCACTCCTTTGGCTGTTGGGAACAGGGGGGTGTAAAGAGGTGAGGTCTTGGGAGTGGGGAAGCACCCTAAAATGAGCCCTGCTTTCTTCCAAATTCTGTAGAGAACTGAACTACCATATAGAGAAAACAGTCTTCCATGGGTGGCAGCGACTAAAAATACTTCATATTTACTGAACCCGTCCTAAAAACCACCCACTTTAAGGTAGGAAAAAATATACATTTCTTCTGAGATAGCAGCTTAAAGTTGACAATCTACTTATTTGTAATAAAATGTTTTTTTTTTTCTTTTAAGTCCTAGTAGAACTATTATAGGAACATGAAATTAACCCATTTCATAAGCTAGGAATCTAGATCACAGAAGATATACGTGACTTATGTTAACTGAATAATGAATGAGTCAGTAAAGGGTCACAGTGGGAGCATTAGGGAGTTCTTGACTCAAGTTTTCCTTTTTAACCTTAATCTTAAGCTACTTCCATTAAATTTGGCTTCTTTTGTGGCTCATCTCTACCCCACTAGGTTTAGGTTTCATTTTATTTTTCAGGTTCAGGTTTTAAAAATAAATTTTTTGTTTTGTATCAGATACATTTCGGTACCACAAAACTCATCTAGAAATTTAGGCTACTTTCCAAACCAAAAGTGTTAGCGAGAACATCTTCTATTCACTTTAGGATGGTTATTTATGAGTCTTCTAAGGTTTCGAATAACATACATTCATAATTATTCGATGCTTTTGTTTTTCAGCACTGTGACCGTCAAACCTAAAATTATAAGGATTAGCATTAAATAAGTAAACATCAATTAGTGGGAATACCCAGCAGCATGACAGAATATTTTCTTACTATATAATATGTAAAGCTGTCAGTAAAATATACCCGCAATATGTTTAGTTTCTAGTTTTTTAAATATTTGTCATAGCATGATAACTGACAATTTTAAGGGGCAATACTTTTTAAAACAGAAAACAGACCTCTGACTTACTAAAAATGGAATTTAATTTACTGCAAAGAAATAGAAAAGTCTCTTTTGGATTGCAGACTATTCATTGATGATAAAGAATTTTTAAAAATTGAACCACATAATATTAATTTAGGAAAACACCTATTTCCTATTATTGGGTAAGTCTTGTAATGTTATTTGGAAAGATAACGTGAAAATTCTTCACTTTAGAAAGATCTTTTTAAAAAAAATAATTTTTCTTTATTGATCTTAGAGAGAGAGGAAGGGAGA